TTAACTCTACTGCATCCGAAATAACTGTGTGTTTATTTGTGTAAAATCCACAGAAATACAGCCCAACATCAGATAAATTCACTTGCTTGATTTGAAGAAAGACAAAGGTGATGTTGGAACTCATAATAAATTTTCCATTTTGAAATCCATCGCAGAATGATGCTGAGCCACGAGATTCAAACATAGAAGAGACACAAGTGGGCTTAGTTTGGTTGACCACTTTAAACCAGTCTGCCTGTGTTTGATGGTTGGAGATGTTGGTGCACTGCAGTGTCACTTCTTCACCGGGCTGGACCTCCACAGTCTGAAACCCAGAACCTGAGACAGAGATCCAGCCTGAAACAAACACCACAGACAAATTAGTATTAAATTAACTGTAATCATTTTCACAGGGTTCCAAAAATATTTAAATTCTGGTAGGATCCAAATCTTGGACTGAGAATCATTAGATGCCAGTACTTACAGTGAATACAGAAAAACAACGCTGTTACAACGGTGAAGCTCCCCATTGTGTGCTTAATCCAGTTGCTACTCGGATATTTAGTAAACCACACAGCTATTACAAAGGCTTTTAGAGGGCGAGGTGTTTCTATTTTTTCATCCTGTCAGTGACCTGTTAACACATTGCAGTACCTTGGCTTAAAAATCGTCAAGCCACTTCCTCTTGGTGGTGACGTGCTATTGGATCACAGCGTTGTCATTTCATTTCCTTTGCTACACACAGTGGTGTTTTTTCTAATCTGCATAGCGCATTTAGTTACAAACCTTTACATAACAATTTAGTAACAATGTTTATTTACTCCTTGGCCTCCTTTATTAATAAAGATACCTATAATAAATTTAGCCTGGTTTTACCTTTGGAGATCACACTCAGTTAACTGAAGACCCAGATCTGCACCCTTGACAACCCTGTAACCAGCCAGGCCCCTGTGATATGTGCAGGTGAAGGAAGCTAAGCCACTGTTAGGTGTTCTCCACCAGATTGTGTGTGGGCCTGGACCTTCTCTCTGTATGTTGCTGAATTGTTGTTGATTATCATCTGCGCCATGGATATGTTATCTGCAAACTTATATATGAAATTTGTGCTATGAATGGGATTGTAGTCATGTGTGAAAACTGAATATAAGAGTCGACTGAGACCACAGCCCTGAAGGGTGCCAGTGTTAAGGATGGTATGACTGAAGAAGAGAAACTGAAGGAAAATAGCATTATTTCATTCATTTTTTGCTAAAAAAAGAAGAGGGTTTTGTTGCTCTGTACAAATTATTATAAAGAATCCCTAAAGCTAAGAAGCCCATAAAGCCAGGAAAGCTTAATGTTGAATAAAATAACATTTAGTGAAGAAAGTAAGAACTCCAGGTCTCATTTCAGCACTGTGTGAAGACTCAGAGTCAGAGATCTGTTGAACCAAGTACTAATTTACCATGAAGCTTAAAAGCCATATATATATATATGTGTGTGTGTGTGTGTGTGTGTGTGTGTGTGTGTGTATTATTTAAATGTAATTTGTTTGTAATACTAAGGTTCCACATGCCACTGTTGTAGTAGGGCATTAATGATGTTGCATGCGTGGGGGCTCCCAGCCGGAGTCATATGGACTTCTCCCTGTACTAAATTATAAGTTTAAATTTGGTGTATTTTGTTTTATTAAGCATTCGTTCTGAGGGCTAAATATCCCCAAAGTGCTTTTGATTTCTTTGAATGACGAAAATAGTAACCAACAGCCTTTTATCCATTATACCACCTATTTATGTGTTTTAGTTTAAATATTAAAAGTGATTATCAGTAGCTTATTTTTGAGTATCCTTTGCTTCATATTTGTCTCAGTCTTAACCCACTATTACATTTGATTATGATTTTGCTGTTGAGAGAAACCACACCATTGTTTGATATTTGTATGTTTTTATATACGGTGGCCCACAGTGGGATGAAGAGGCCCTGCTGCTGTGTGTGTCCACTGATTTTACTGCTGCATTTTGTCTTTTGTAAAATAAAGCCATATTTTACAACCAGTCCCTGTTTTTCATCACAAGGCAGTCTACCATTTGAAATCTGCTACACAAGCAGAAAGATAACATCCTGAAACAGGATGAACAGCTTAAAAGGAAAACAGATCTGGATGTGACTCTACACATACTCAAATCACAGAAAGCAGCTGCAGCTGCATTAGCAGAGGCTCAAGCTTGGGAAAAATCTGATCAAGAAAGTGAACATCCAAAACAGCCCCAGCTGGGCAACATGCAGCAAATCAACCCAACAGAACAAGTTCAAGAGTATGTGTGGCAACAATCAGTACTCAATAATGATCTGCAGACTCCACAATTGGGCAGCCACTGCCATCGAGGCAACAGCAAAAGCTTGCAAAGAACCAAGTATCTGTCAGCCCAGTATGACCAACAACCAAGAGTTCACTCCTTTGCCAGTCATCTGTGTTTTGAACCCAAAGAGAGTCTTGCAACTGGAGTTATGGTGAACAACCATCAAATAATGATCGATTTCACCATCATCAGTCCAAGATTTGGGCACCCATACATGTAAGGGGTAGACATGCTGACTCTTCAGATCTAACAGAATATCTAATATTAAAGGGGAAATGAGCTCCACTCCAGCATCTGCCCCACTTCCTTCTTTCACTTTATGGTACGATGCTAGTATGTATTTGCGTGTGATTATCCAGATGAGCTCTTAGAGCTGATCATTCACAAATGACACATTGCTATATAGTAGGGGAGTTAGTTTTACAACATGCATTCAGACAACACGAGTGGTAATTTGAGTTGCCTTTCTGCCACTTTGGTACTTTGTAGTTTTTGACAAAGGAACCTACCAGTTAAAAAACAGGCTGTTAAAAAATGTAGAAAAAAAAACAATTGTGTGCAAATAGTACAGGATGTGTTGTTTGTGGTTTTAAAGGCTAGTCCTTCTGTGGCTTTTTATTTGGCTTATACACAGAGCCACTGCAGTGGAAAAAGACAGGGGGAGGTGCATAAAACTTGCCAAGCTTTGCACATAGACCATGGTCAGGGAAGAAAGCTGCCCATATAAACACTGGCTGTGTCTTTATTTGCCCCTTTTGTCAGTATACAAAAAAAATAACAATTTCAACATATCTAGTTAGAGAACACATCTAAAAACCTATGAAGGGATATATCCACACAAAATAATTCTAGCAAAAACACTGATGTTGCCACAGAATTTATTGTTTTATCATTTACATCAAGAATGAAACAACAGCGTTCTTTTTAATGTAGCATTATTCTTGGTGTTGAAATCAACAGTTATTTGATATTTGTGATGAGTGAAAAGTCTTTCTCCTTAACTGTCTACATGCACAAAGGCCGATGCGAACTAGTAAAAAGCAGAAAGTCAAATTTCACCAGCTGTAGAGGCCTTGTGAGTTCAGCTGTGCTCAGACCACAGTGTGAAGTCTCTTCCTGTGAAGTGATCAGTATCTCACTCATGCCTCCACCCAAAGACCGCCTGACTCCCCCTATGAGTAACTTTGTGTACCCTCATTTTATTGAGATGAAGACAAATTAAGGCAGAAAAAAAAGACACATAAATGTTTAGTACAGGGTTAAAAAAAAAAAAAAACTTAACCACTAAGCATGCTTTCTCATCATGAACACAGAGAATCAGCTCTATGCACTGGCAGCATAAACAACATGAGTTTCCACTCGTGTCTCTTTTGCAGGCCTTCTGCTTCTTGGTGTTTGTGGGTGGAGTCTCAACGCTGCAGAGTTCAGGTCAACAGAGTCCACATTCTGTAGGTGAAAAATTTACAGTCACATAGCAAAACAACCACAGACTCAGTACTTTCACTATCCTTGACTGTGACAGTCTTAGCATATGCTAGATTATTCTAGGCTAGACTCCAAAAAAGACAGAAAGAGAGCCAAATTATTTTTGTTTTAAATGTACCTCTGAGTGATACACTACCAAATAAGTGTGGCATTCATTCATTACATTCATTTGAAACCTTCAGATAGAGATAATAGGGATTGGGACTATCAACTTTGTTTTACAATAACTACAGGTTTCTACTTCAGACTTTGTGTCCACTCACACTAAATGTGGTGTTTGAGGTACAATATTTTCTTCACAAAATGGACCCAGGGCTACCTGCTTCTTAGTGGTTGGTAGATATCTTCAGAACAGAAGAAATGTAACATAAAAATAAGATAAGAGATCTTTTCTTCAATTCTTTTCCAGCCCTTATCCTATTCGGGGTTGTAGAGCACCTGGAATCTATCCCAGATCTGGCTAGGCTTTCCTTTCATACATAGAAAGAGCCCAGCCACTGGATTCAAACACTTCATTAAGTGAATTTATGACTATATGATATATACAATTGTTGTAACTTTACAACAGAGCGTCCTTTTGTGGTCAACAAGGAGCAGTGCAATAAGCTGGACGTGTGAAATAAATGTATCTCAAAAGTGCAACTTTTTCATTTAGTGAAAAAGTTGCACCTAATTTGCAACCTGATTTGAGGTGACCATTGTTTTGATTTGCTGCTATATAACTAAAACTGAACAAAATAAAACATGTAAGAGATTTCAAGCAAGAAGTTTCCAAGCACCATAGTGCTCCAGCATGGTACAAAGAGCCATGATAATGATAATTCTAGCCCATTCACACTCAATATGCTGTTTGGATCACCTTCTCTAACATCGTCAATGCTGCTCTGCACTGACCTTAGTATCTTCCCTGGGATATTTGAAGACTTTGAAGAGATTATTATTATTTATTACACAGCATCATAATCACAAATGATCTATTCTAAGCTTTTTTAGTAAATGTAATTTGCATTTTTTTTTAAAGCGTCACCTTGTTCCTGGGAGTATGCTGTTCTTTGTCCACTGCTGAAAGATAATATAAAAAGTTACATTTTGAGTGTTAGAACTCATTGTATCACATGTAATAACTCTTAATAAATCACGTGCTGTATGTACCTGAAAAAAGCGGCACAATCTTAACAGCCAAACCAACGACAGCCATCACAAAGAAAGCAGCCAGTGTAGCAAAGACCACAGGCACAAGGCTGGACTCTGCAACAGCAAACAGCACTGACTGATAAAATATGTTGTTAAAATGCAATAACGTGTATTTGCAAAATACTTTTTAATGTGCTTTCATGCATTCAAGCCACATTTACTAACTTAAATCCATGCACTGAAAAATAAAAGAACAAGAAATGCCTTTAAAAAATACATTAGATAGTTTTAATATAATCAAAATATCAAAACTGATGTGGTTATTTATTAGTCAAAAATAAAACAGGTAAAACAAACGTTATTACATAATTTATACACTTGGGTTTATTTGTTTAGTTCATGATTTATTATTATTAGTAATGGTTATGGCTATGAATGTTCATACTAAGAGTACACTGAATGCTATATGTAAAAACAATAAACACTTCCATTAATTTGCATTATTTTTATTTAGATCTTTATTCTTTTTTGTAAAACTGTAAATAATGACCAAAATCAAAGTCATCCTCACTGTGAAGCAACCACAAATGTAATTGTACTTTGTATTTTGACTATTACAAATATAGTGAATTCAAATGAATATAAACTGAAATTTAAGACCACTCTCTTGGGCCTCTTGTGGTCTCAGCATATGCTTTAAGTGAGCTCTGTTGGCTCCCTGTGGAGTTGTTACCAATAATTTTAAAGCACACTGAAAAGTTGAAAAGCACACTGAAGTTTATTATAGCTTTGTTATTGTGTATTATCTTATATTGTTGCTCAATAATATAATTAGCAATGATTATATGCTTATTTATGTAAAGTTCAAAGAAACACAGGCAATCCATGTACATGAAATGAAAGAAAGAAAAAAGAAACAAAGCTACACTGGAACTCATTTCAAATGTTACTATAATATATAAAACTAACTTTTAAGAGAAAGGAAAAGATGCTTACTTTCCACTCCATTCACTTGATCATTAAATTCCACTCCATCATTTGTTTCATCCGTACCTGTGAAGAACCATGGCCATTAATTTATTTTTATGCATAAAAATATTCTGTTACTCTTTCAGCTCATTTCATGGTACTGTAAAACTAAAATTGATGAGAAAAGCTAAACATTACACAAACACATAGGAACATATAAATAGATCATTAACTCCAATCTTACCTTGAATTCTTAACTCGACTGCATTAGAAATGACTGTGTGCCCACTGATGTACAATCCACAGAAATAGAGTCCAACATCAGATAAATCCACTCGCTTGATTTGAAGGAAGACAAAAGAGACGTTGGAACTCATATTAAAATTTCTGTTTCTAAATCCATGACAGAATGACGCTTCGCTGTCAGATCCATACATAGAAGAAACACAGCTGGGCTTAGTTTTATTGACCACTCTGAACCAGTCTGTCTGCGTTGGATAGGCGGAAATGTTGGAACACTGCAGTGTGACCTCGTCCCCGTCCTGGACCTCCACAGTCTGAAACTCAGAACCTGAGACAGAGATCCAGCCTGAAATGAAAGAACACAAAATCTATTTCTATCTCTACAGTGTTAAAGTTATTGTGACTGGACAATTGTGAATTAGTTCTGTTTAATGACAATCGTTTAACAATTTATAAGGTAACAAGAAGCCAATACTTACCAAGGCAGAGAAACAAAGTTGTTATCAAGACAAAGCTCTTCATCATGCATTTAATCCTGTCACTGCTTTGATAGTTTCTAACACACAGCTCTTATAAAAGGGTTCAGAGGGGCGGAGTGTTTCTTTTCTTCTTCATCCCACCAATGACCTGCAAACATTTTCACTTTTGTCCCTCGTTCAACAGGTTCTTTTTAGGGTCTTCCAGCTGTGTGGTGCATGTGAAACCTGAGATCTAGTTGTAGTTACCTGTGACACTAAACAGGAAAGCAGACAGATGATTTTTATTACTCAATTTACAGTAACAGTAAGGTGGTCTTTACCGATATTTTAATGGGCTCAGAGAATCTCAGATTATGCAGAATAAAACTGCAATCTTGGAAATATTAAAGTTTTTTGAGAAAACTTTAAAAAACCTCAGAAATGTATTTGTTTCTTTGAACTTCTTCTTTTTTGAACATCTGCATCATTTTGTGATTAAACAAGAGTTTCCGACAGCTGACAAGGTTCTTGCCTTATTGGTATTATCTGGTACACCTACAACTCTGCTAGACTTGCCTATACAAAGTCCTCAGACAGCAGGCTGAAACTAACCATGTTATCAGCAATCCTCACAAGAAACACACAAAACTTGCTGAAATTATATCGCTCCCGCAGAGCCAATACTGAGTCAAGTTCAATACCTAGACTCAGCTGTAATTCAGACTGAAACAGATAAGCATAACCAGCTATCCACAATTTAACTTATTTCCTGAATTCCAAATTGAACTTACCAGCATCCATACCAGCATGATTTTGAGAGGTTAAAGTTCCTCCTCGTTTTGCTCCCAATGCTCGGTTCCATTGACAGTTGATGTCAGTGTTGTAGGGACACGTACAGTGCTCTTGAGCATGCTCAAAAAGTAGACCACCCAGTTGCTTATTTTGCTCACAAATAAATAACCAACATGTCAAATAATCTACTACTGACAACGAGACAAGACTCAGGTTCATAATGTCAGAGAAAAAAACTCAGTAAATTATTCTTAAAAGTAGGAACGTGTTCATGCTATAGCAAAATCTGTTCTTGCTGTTTATTTTTTAACAAAAAAGACATCACGTTTGTGTGAATTTTAAAAAGCTTGTGCAATGTAATGGTCTGTGAAGTGATTGACAATGCCAGATGCGACCGATGGAGGGAAATAGTATTCTTTGCTCATACCTCAAGGCACTGACCTATTGTATTGTTACACAATTAAGATGTGGAAACACAGCAGCTGGTTTAAATAGATCATAATTCTGTTGCTTTTATGCTGTTTAAGAAACTCCAACTTTAGATTTTCAACGCAGTTCTGCTCAGATCACACTGTGCTGTCTCGTCCTTACTACCTGACTCCTTCCACAGCAGACATTTAGACTCTCCCTATGAGACGTTTTCACAGTCATCAGTGTCATTTCTGACTTCTCCTCTATATTTACACTTTAATACGTGTTTTTTTCTCACACAAAAGGTAGACAAAGAGAAATAAAGCAATGGATGAAAAGTTGGAAAAAATGTTTTTATTTTCCAAGGACTCGTGTCAAAAAATATATCAGCATGTCTATTCCTCTCCTCCCAGAACAGACAATGAGACTTTCCTCATAAGAAAAGTTCATATTCAGCGTCAGATCAATAACTTTTCCATCATCAACACACTTAAAAGAAAAGATGCACAATAAAAAAGACAGAGGCACAAAAGTAAAGATACAAAGACAACTTCAATGCAAATTTTGTTATTTTTATTTTTGTTAGTACGTTTTGCCACATCATCCACAACACATACACAAAACTACATCAGTGGGTTATTATCCTAAAACATGAGCTCCACCTCCTTGTCTACCGTGTGGCAGCATACACAACATGAGACTCCAGCTCTCTGTGTGTCGCAGGCCTGCGACTTCTTTTGAGTTTTGTCTGGAAACTCATAGCTGCGTAGTTCAGGTCATCTGAGCTCTTATTCTGAAAATCAAAATATTGTAGTAGTGGATTTGTGGGTTACATGACGAAAGATTTGATTTAAAGTATTTTAAGAGTTTTAAAGTAAAATATGAAAACAAGATGAATAATGACACTTGGATTCCAAATAATGGGTTTAAATACTGTTTTAATTTGTCAGTGCGCCCCAGGGTGGCTGTGGCTACAATGTAGCTTGCCATCACCAGTGTGTGAATGTGTGTGTGAATGGGTGGATGACTGGAGGTGTAAAGCGCTTTGGGGTCCTTAGGGACTAGTAAAGCGCTATACAAATACAGGCCATTTACCATTTAATATTTAATTTGAAGGCTTTATGTACAGCACTTTTCTACTCTACTGAGCATTTTAAACAATTTGCGTCATTCACACTAGCACTTTTTTCCCCTGCCTTTCTATGTAACACTCCATTGAACACACTAGAGTGCAACTTGCGATACTTGGCATGCAGACTGGGAAAGCCGGGCATCAAACTACCAACCTTCTTGCTAGTAGATGGCCTTCTCCTGAGCTACGGCCACCCTAAATTATACTTTTTCAAATTCAGCTATTATTTTTATGTTATCACTGAGTCTTTTCCGTGCATGCATGTTTTGATTATCCACGTACTTTTCAGCTGAGCTAAATGAATGAAATGATAGGACAACATTGCTTGCTTCCCTGAAAAACATGTTCAGGCTGATATAATTCACAGAATAATTACAAGGTTAAATTAATGTTTTACACAGTGTGAGTAAAAACACATTTACCTTGATGTTTCCTGGTTGGGGATCTGGAGTTAAATTGAAAATATAAAAGTGTGTTTAGTTTATTTTTACCAACCATAGAAATTGTCTTTTAAAAGCAACTTTACCTGTCTGAGGTGTTTTGATTTTTAAAACCAGAATGATGACCAGTATAATGAGTAAACCAGTCAGACCACCTGGGATGATGTTCATTGGGTGTATCATTCTATCAGACTCTGCAAAAAAAATTGCACTGAAACATTTCAGGCTGTGTACTTCAGGTATAATACTGACAATAGTGAAATAACTATGATCCCAATAAAAAACAAATTTTTTAGAGAAAGGAAAATAATCTTACCTTCAGTCTTGAATTCTTCATCATTCGTTTCACCACCTGTAAAGAAACATGGGTTTTATAATACTTTGTGACTTCCAGTTCTTATTGAAAGTCTCATCATGTTGTTCTGCTACTAAGGAAAGCTTACCGTCAAATTTTAACTCTACTGCATTGGAAATAATAATATGCACATCCACGTAAAATCCACAGAAATACAGCCCAACATCTGATAAACCCACTTCTGTCATTTTAAGAAAGACAGAAGTGACATTGGAACTCATATCAAATTTTCCATTTTGAAATCCGTTACAGAAAGAGGCTTGGCCATGAGACCCAAACATAGAGGAGATGCAGCTCGTTTTAGTCGCATTGATCACTCTGAACCACTCTGTATGTGTTGGACTTGTGGAAATGTTGGAGCACTGCAGTGTGACGTCTTCACCAGGCTGGACCGTCACAGTGTGAACCTCAGAGCCCGAGATAAAGATCCATCCTGAATCAAACAACAAAGACAAAATGAGATTCAACTCAAAGTGTACAGTACAACAGACGCTGTCACAGGGCGACAACTTTTTATTCAATTTAATTACATCACTGCTTTCTAACAATCATATTTAAATTTTGTTGGGCTCCTCGTTCCATTACTTATTTTAAGCTGGGAGTAGTGAGGTGCCAGTACTTACTGAGGCTGCAGAAAATCAAAGCTGTTATCAAGACGAAGCTCCTCATCGTGTGTTTAATCCTTCACTGCTCGGACAGTTAGTGAACCATGCAGCTTTTATAAAGGGGTTTAGAGGGGCGGGGTGATTTTAGTTTGTCATCTTGCCAATGACCTGCCAAAGCAATGCAATGCATTTGTAGATATTTTAGCTTCATTCACTATGAGATAACTGAAAAATTTTCACTTGTGTTTTCTGAGCTTTGAGACTCACAGACTTATAATACCATGTAACATCCATTTCAGAACATATTAAACAGAGTCAAACAATGAGTCACTTATCAATGAGCTTCCTCAAAAACTCCTGGACTTTTGAGCAAATATTCTATTTTAGTCCCTAAAAGTCTGGTGTGAAACATAAAAGAAAGGAAAGGGGGGTTTACAGAGGTCGGCCCGTTTTTTGGCAGTTATCCAAGGATGCCATTTAGATTTGATCATGGAAATGAGATAAGGAAGTAACTTTGCATCCTAAAGTTGTAAAATTGTTTAAAGTCTTACTGTTTTCTTGTTGATTCTTCTGCTCATTCCTGACATGACACCATCTAACATTTTTAGATTTCTGTATGAAATTCAGCTTCTTTTTCAGACTTTTTAAACTGCTTTTCTGATTACATGTAACGCTGGTGTGGAAACTTGAGTTATAGTTACATTTACTTGTTTATGTAACAACAAACAGCAAAAGATACGTTTTAGATCTTTCTATTTAATGGTTATAAATGTTATATATAGGAAGGTCTTTATTCTGAATTACTGGTTGAAAGTGGCACAATGCTCTTTATAAACGTAATTATTTTATGCACACTTTCATGGTCTATAAATGTTTAACTGAGATGAAAATCAAAGCGTGAATTTAAAGATGTGTGTGGTCAGACCCATGATTACTAAAAATTGACTGCATGTACATGTCACCATTGTGTTGTCACCAATGGTGACCACTAGTTTCTGGACCCCGTAAAAGATTTTGGTCACAGTCATGTTGTTTTAATTCTAGCTGGATGTTACTGCATTTAAAAGAGAGGCTGGAGTTCTAAGTTCATCAGCTAATATTCTGAAGCTCGGTAAGCATGCTGCATGAAGACATGTTGGAATGTAGACATGTAAATATGCTGACTGACAATTAAAAGAACACCAACTTCGAGTTAAAGCCCTAAAATAATTCAAATAATTGAGTTACTAACAAAAAAAAAATCACTCACAGCTCTTACAAAGGGCAAGAACCAGCCTACTCCTACTACTACTGGCATTTCCAAGCCCAGACTGGTAGGATTGAGTCAGAATGCTTTACCAAATCATATTTGCAGCTCATCAAGAATGAAATTTCAATATTAGATATTTGGGTCTAAGTTGACAACAATAACCACCTCTAGTGCTGTTGGCCAACAGGCTGCAAGTGGAAACTGTGCTACAGCTGGCCAAAGACAAAAGAAGAAGAAAGGGGGTGTCCTGCTAGGAGGCAGTGGGAGAGAAGAAAAGGCAGGAGTGTGGAGGTGAGAGTAAGAAGTTTAACGCCTGATCCCTGTTTCAATCCAGGGGGTCAATGTTGACATTGTAGATGACTATAAATACCTCGGAGTAGACTTTGACAATAAACTGGACTGGGCTAAAAACACCTCAGCACTTTAAAGGAAAGGCCAGGGCCGACTCTATTTTCTGAGGTCCTTCAACATCTGCCAGACAATGCTCAGGATTACGAGCTGGACTCTCTTAGGGTGGTGATGGAGAGGCGAATGTTATCCAGGATAAAGACAATGTTGGATAATTCCTTCCACCCACTCCATGACGTGCTGGCTAGCCACAGGAGCACGTTCAGTGAGAGGCTAAGATTACCAAAAAGCACCACTGAACGACACAGGAAATCATTCCTGCCTGTGGCCATCTCCATGTACAACTCATCCATCTAACATGCACTGCAATAGCTACACCTTTTTTGCACATGCTCTTCTTTCTTATTCAGATATTTATTAGTAAGTGACTTATATATATGCATATATTGTATATTTTGTGCTATTTCTTATTTCTTGTATTGTCTGTTTTTGTTACTGTTTGTACTGGAGCATCGTAACCAGCATAATTTCCCCTAGGGATCAATAAAGTATTCTGATTTAAATGTAGGGCCTATGACCGGTAAAAGGAGAGATCCAGCTGATGTAATGGTGAGAAGGAAGGTAAATGGGCTTAGAAGCACTTGTCTACTCTCCTGGAGTACTCAAAGTGCTTAATACACCACTTCACTATGAATTTTAAGTGCTTATTAACTAACATTCACACTTAGACCAACTTATGGTTACGCTCTTGCCCAAGGATATTTGACATGAAGACAAGGGGGAGCCAGGGATTGAACTACCAACCTACCAATCAGTAGATGATCTGCTCTGCCTCCTGAGCTACAGCCACCCATCAGTAAGCCGCGTGTGCATGAGACCAGGTGTGAAGTAAGGCCAGGAACACTGGAGGTGGGTTCAATCTGTTCTACAGCCTAGATATAAAGAGAAATGGAGTAATGGTAATCTTTAAGGAAGAATATGTGACTAGTGTTGTGGAGAGTGTCAGACAGGATCATGAGTTTGAAAAGGGTTGATGTTGAATATTGTCAGTTTGTCCCACAGGTTAGATGCCAATTCTCGTGATTATCTAAAAGAAATTGAATTAAATAACATTGAAAAAAAAGGTATCTATGCTTTAATCACATGCAAACTGGAAACTGCTGCTTTTGTATATATGTTGGCTTGGGCAACAGGATTGGAGCTGATGTTGCTGCACCATCTCCTGACTGGTAGACAAAAATATTGTTGGTAATGTTACACTGGCTGCCTTATGAAGTTATTTTCAAAAACTCCTACTTGTGAATAATAATTCAAAAGTCAGTTCATCAGCTTTTTAAGTTTGCCTCATAGCTGTGTCTTACTGTGAACAGCAGAAGTTGTATATGTTAATTTATTGTCTTTACTGATTTTATAGCTTGTTGTGTAGTTATTGCTGTCTTTTTCTACGGATTGTACATTACAATAACAATGTCCATCTATAGCTTAACTAACAGAGCTCACTGCTAAATGCAGTCATAGGTTCCACACAATAAAGGGCGGTACCTAAGATGGGGATGCCACACCCCCACACAGGCACCTCCCACAGTAGACCAGATAGTGCAGTTAGGGTCACAACATGTGTTCGGAGAACCTGAGCCGTTATTTCAGTTGTGTTTCTGTCACCTCAAGCTAGTCTGGCACTAATAATGTACTGTGACGAAGAGTACTGCCGCTCACTCACGTTTTATGTTATGAAGTTGTTTTTAATCTCTAAAACTCTCAGTGAATCCATTTGAAAACAGTGAAACCAGCTCGTGGTTAAAGTCACACCTTTGTTCATTCCTCTGTTGCAGGCAAAAAAAGGAGAACGAAAGCAACACATTTCTGTGAAAACAGCAAAGCATTTGTTGCGTGTGGTTTTAAAGGCTAGTGTCTGTGTGGTTTTCAGTTTATCTGATACACAGTGTTGTCACCGCAGTGGAAAATAACAGGGGGGGAAGCATGAGATTTGTTGCACCCCAGAATGTGCACAAGAACGTGGTCAAGCAAGAAAGCTGCCCATATACACACTGACTGTTTCAGGGTGTGATAGAGGTGCAATTAACATTTACAAAGTTAAAATAAATTTAAATGGCGTCCATTTAGTACCACTTATGTGGTAGTAATGTTGTATTAAATCTGTGGTTTCATCATTTACGTCAGCAAAGAGAAAACTGTTGTAGGATTTTCTTTGTTTCTTGATCATCTGTAGTCTTAAAATCAGCAAATTTTTACTGTTCCACAGATTTTATTGTGACTCTTACACTGCTTTTCATCAAAGTTTGCAGGATCAAAAAATATATTTTCAATTACATTTCATTATAAAACATATTACTGTCTTGGAATATTTTTCTAAAGTCTGTGAAAGTACAAAGCCTGACGTTATCTAGCTCAAGCTTCAATGCCTTTCTTAAACTTTGCTGTGAACCATTACTGACTGTACAGGCCTTGTGAGTTCAGCACTCAGACCACACTGTGAAGTCTCTTCCTGTCAAGTGATCAGTATCTCGCTCATGCCTCCTTCCCCCTGAAGACGACCTGACTCTCCCTATGAGTAACTTTATATGCCCATATTTTATTTGATATGAAGACAAATTAAGGCAGAAAAACAGATATAAAATGTTTAGTCAAGGGTTATAAAGACTTAACCACTAAACACGTTTTCCCATCATGAACACAGAGAATCAGCTCTATGCACTGGCAGCATAAACAACATGAGTTTCCACTTGTGTCTCTATTGCAGGCCTTCTGCTTCTGGGTGTTTGTGGGTGGAGTCTCAATGCTGCAGATTTCAGGTAAACGGAGTCCACATTCTGTAGGTGAAAACATTTATAGTCACAGACCAAAAAAAAACACAGAGTCATTACTTTCACTATTCTTGACTGTGTCAGTCTGATAGCATATGAGAGATAATTGGACTTGGCTTCAAAAAAGTAGGGTGAGAACCAGTTGATGTTAGATTTCAGATGCTTGTGATTTAGAAAGCATCTGAAATCGACCACAGGTGTCAGTGGTCAAAAGGCTAGGTAGAACCTGACCAGGCTTTCATTATGTAGAAGTGGCCCAGCCGGGCAGGGGAATCAAACCTCACATTCGAGCTGCAAAAGTTTAACCATGGTACATGAGGTTACTCAGTGTTACTGTATTACAGTTTAATGAAGACAATGCAGAAACATATATTAGTCTGTGCCCAGATAAAAGTCAAATTAATTTCATTAATTCAATATTCTCTGTGATAAATAGATTAATCAGTCTGATTGGTGTCACTGCGATACCAGCAGTGGAAAACGAACTATATGCATTACATCATCATGTAATCACTCGATTGATGCATAAATTCAATGAATATCATTTGGACCTACTTTGTTTCTGTGATGTTAGCAAGAAACTGCTGCATGTGTAACATGAAAATATGTTGCAATGAATGATGTCTGAAAAAGATTTAGTGACAATGTGGTGCTTGTAACCTTTGACAGAAACTCTGCTTTTATATTTTTCCTGAATAAGGGGAGAGATTTTCTTCCTTGCTCGAAGGCCGAGGTTTTTCTTAGATTAATCACACATTTAATCCTCCTGTTAAATCGTAAACCTTTAAAAATTGCAATAAAAAATGATTTACCTCACTGCTTTGCTCTGGCTGCTGTTGTGGAGTTAAATGCCAAATATAAAAGTGTGATTAGTTTATTACCAACACAGTACTTTTATTAGGACTTGTTAATCAGCTTGTAAGAGTAGGTGAAACAAATTATAGCCACATTTACCTGTTTGAGGTTTCCTGACTTTTAAAACCAGAACAATGACCACTATACTGAGTAAACCAGTCAGACCAGCCAGGATGATGCTCAATGGTTGGGTCGTTCTGTTGCACTCTTCTAAAAAAAATTAATTAGATTAACTGTGTGATTAGTGTGGTTAAGACATATTATACAAGACAGTACTGCACAGTGAAGATTAAAATCTTTCCACTCATCACGGAATCTCACCTTCAGTCTTAAAATCCTCTCCTTCACTGGTTTCACCACCTGTGACCATGATTGTTGTATTATTTTACAATTTGCTGTTTGTAGTTACTGTGTTTTCACATGACATGATGAGAAACACTAAAGTTGCAAAGAAAGGTTTTTAACCTAAACTCACCTTGAATTCTCAACTGTACCCTAGTGGAAATAATTATATGATAGTCCAAGAAAAATCCACAGAAATACAGGCCAGCATCAGACAGATCCACTGGCTTTATTTGAAGAAAGACGGCAACGTTGTTGGAAGTCATATTGAATTTTCCATTTTGAAATCCATCACAGAAAGAAGCTTGTCCATTGGAGCCATACATAGAGGCAATGCAGCTCAACGTAGCTCGGTTGACCACTCTGAACCACTCTGTATGTGTTGAACTTCTGGAAATGTTGGAGCACTGCAGTGTGACGTCTTCACCAGACTGGACCTCCACAGTCTGAAATTCAGAACCAGAGACAGAGAGCCAGCCTGAAACAAACAGCAAAGACAAAATTAAGATCCAACTCAAAGTGTACGGTACAACAGACGCTGTAAGAGGGCAAAAACGTTTCATTTCATATATTTACTTAACTATTTTGTAACGATCAAATTTTAAATCGAATGGGTCCTCATGCCATTACTTGGAGCTGAGAGTAATAAATTGCCAGTCAGTCTGTAGATACTTACTGAATTTACAGAAAAATAAAGCTGTTATAAAGATGAAGCTCATCATCATGTGTTAAATCTTGTCACTGCTTGGACTGTTAGTAAACCACACACCTCTTAAAAAGGGGTTTAGAGGGGCGGGGTGTTTTTTTTTTTATCTGTCCAATGACCTACCAATACAATATAGTATATTTGCATATATTTTAGCTCTTGTCAAATTCAAATGTAGAGGTTATTTATTTCGAACATAGCTTAACAATGAGTCACATATACAGAAAAAGACCAACTCCTCAGAAGCCCTTGGAGTTTTAATGCCTGGCGTGGTATATACAAGAAAACCACTAAGAGCTAGAAGAAGGGGGTCTGCGTTTGTTTTTTTCATTTTACAGAATAGAACTCGTAGCTAAGACTTGTTAATAAGACTACCTCTTGTGCTGTTGACCAACAGGGTACAGTTGGCTGAAGACAGAAGAAGAAAGGAGGAAGGCATGCTAGGAGTCAGCAAGAAAAAAGGAACTTTAAATATAGGGACTTAGACTGGTAAATGAGATAGCTGGGTGATATGATGGAGAGATGGAACGTAGGTAGTCTGTCAAAGAGACCAGGTGGAAGGTAAGCAATGCCAGGAGCACTGAGTTCAACCTGCTCTACCATAGCCTAGATAGGAAGAGATATCATTTAATGGTAATCTTTAAGGAAGAAGAATATGTTAATAGTGTTGTGGAGGTGACAAAAGTGTCAGACAGGTATATGAGTTTGAAGCTGGAAGTTGAAGGGGTGCTTTCAGTGTGCATGGCCCAAAAGATGGATGTCAATAGGAAGAGAGAGAGGAATTATGGAATTACATGGACAGGTGAGCAGAACGGAGTTGGGTAGGTATAGTGTTAAGGAAAGAAATGCAGACTGCCAGAGAGCAGTGGATTTTTCAAAGGGATAAAAAAAATCTGTGGTGATGACATACACAAAGAGGGAGGAACATAAGATGATGCATAAGTTTGGAACAATGTGCACACATCTAGACTGGTAAAGAGAGAAGTTGCAAAGGAAAAGGCAAATGATGATTTGTATGTGAGGCTGTACACTAAGGAAACCACAAAGGCTTGTATTGGTTGCCAAGGCAAAGATCTTGAGGTGGAAAGGACCCAGCCAACATGCACACCTGGGATTTGCTCGGGGTGGATGGGTACCATGTGGGCACTGGCTCAAAATGGGTTTTTTGTATGGGTTCCACTTGGGTTCCTCACATTAAACCAATATGTACAATCCAAAGTGGGCACAAATAGTAGGTCCTTGCTGGGTCAAAGATGGGAAATACTTAACTTGGTTGGAAATGGGAAAGACACATTCATGGACTCACTTGGGTCAGTTGGGGCCCATTTAGTTTCCAGATTTTCCCAACATAACACCAATATGAGCTTTTAAAATTGGGGCCATTATGGAACCCGTGTACAATCCCACTTAAAACCCAATTTTTAGCTGTTGTGGTACCCAAATGGGACCCACACAAATTTGAAAGATGGGGCCCGGATGGGTTTTTGTGTACTTTGCCCAGTTGGGGCTCATTTAGTGACCAAATTTTCTCAACATAACACTTATATGGACATTTAACATGGGGCCATTACAGATCCGTGGTCATTCCTGTATGGGTCCATTTTTCAGCCCATTTCTAAACCATATGGGCCCCACATGTAAATGTTGGCTAGAGACGTTCAGCAGGTTAGGGTGATTTAGGATAGAGACATAAATGTCATGTACGGCTTTAAATACTTATTACACACAATAAATATTGAACACTTTGAGGCAAGTTAGTTGCATCAAGAAGCCCTTTTTGTTGAAGACTCATTTCTTCTGTTTATTAGCTAGGTTACAAAATTTTCTTTTGTTTGCCTTTGGTTCACATTTTGTGATATTGCAAAATGTGAGCTTGCTCCTGAGGAAAGACATTGAGACATTTTCATTATGTGTCAGAAATGTTGAGCAGAAATGTTGAGCAGAAATGTTGAGCAGAAATGAGACTAAAAGCCTGAAATACTCAAATTACATCATCTACTTAAAAAAAATAGATGATGCATATTTTTGCAGACAGAAACACAAAAGTAAAGATACAAAGACTTTAGTGCAAATTTTATTATATTTATTTTTTGCCAGCCAGTTTTTGCCATGTCATCCACAAAACATCCACAAAACTACATCAGCAGGTTAGTATCATAAAGCATGAGCTCCACTTATTGAGTCTATCTGGCGGCAGCATACACAACATGTGTCTCCAGCTCTGTCTGTGCCACAGACCTGCAGCTGCTTTCGACATTCATCTGTATATTCATCCCCGTGTACTTCAGATTTTCTGAGCTCACTTTCTGAAAGTCAAATAGTTACACAGCTGAGTTTACAACACATATGTGAAACGTTTATTGACTTGTGGTTTGTACCAAAAAATATTTTGCATTAAATGGGATTTTTTGATTTTAATTCCATAATACCTTATCTATACCAGCTGGGCAGCACAGTATTAAACAAAATTAAATTAAGAATCCAAGTTAAGTTAAAATATTATCATATCCAGTGAACTAAAAGAAAGGAGGAGAAGTTTAATGACACAAGTCCTACTGATGTTACAGTACTAAAATGTTTCCTTGCTGTGAGTAATAACGTTTTGCCTGATTCAGATAATATTTGGGATCTTTGTTTTCAACTCATAACATTAAGCTTATAAATTCTAATTTAAGACAATTTTTCTTTACCTTGTTTCTCTCTGGTTTAGGTTCTGCAGATAAGGAGCAAATATAAACATATGATTAGCTCTTTAATAACACCATACTTTGCTTTGAATTTCAAATCAACTTATAAGTGGAGACACAAAAATTACAGCAAATTTTACCTGTTTGAAGTTTCCAGATTTTTAGAACCAGAACAATGACCACCACAGTGAGCAAACCAGTCACACCACTCAGGACGATGCTCATCACATGTGTATTACCAGGCTCTTCTGTAAAAGAGATTATAATAGAACATCACTCTAATTCAATCTGTTTGATTTACACGTAATATTAATAATAATAATGATCACAATGAAAAACAAAATGTTAAGAGTCAGAAAAATAATTTTACTTTCCGTCTTAAAACCCTCTTCTTCATTGGTTTCACCGCCTGTAAAGAAACATGGCTATTATAATATTTTGTGATTTCCTTTTTGTCTGTGAGCTGATTTTGGATTACGTATGAACATAAAACTAACCTGGAGGACAAAAGTCCTCCCTACAAGCTTACCTTGAATTCTTAACTCGACTGCATTGGAAATGACCGTATGCTTATTCACGTAAAATCCACAGAAATACAGCCCGACATCAGATAAATCCACTTGTGTGATTTTAAGAAACACAGAGGTGTTGTTGGAACTCATATTGAATTTTCCATTTCGAAATCCATCACAGAATGAAGCTTTGCCCTGAGATCCATACATAGCAGCAATGCAGCTGGGCTTAGTTCTGTTGATAACTTTGAACCAGTCTGTCTGTGTTGGATGACTCGAAATGTTGGAGCACTTCAACGTGACTTCTTCACCAAGTTGGACCTCCACAGTCTGAAACTCAGAACCTGAGACAGAGATCCAGCCTGGAATGAAAGAACATGATGTTTATGTCTGAGCCTACAGTGTTACAGGACAACAACATCCATTATATCTGTTTAATGACTTCACTTATTCCATTATTTGAAAGTACTGAGGTGCCAGTACTTACTGAGGCTGGAGAGAAATAAAGCTGTGCTCAAGACGAAGCTCCTCATCATGCGTTTAATCCTGTAACTGCATGGATATGTTGTACAACACAACTCATATAAAGGGGTTCAGAGGGGCGGAGTGTATTTTTCTTTTTTATCTTGCCAGTCATCTGCCTATACAATGTAATGCTTTTGCATACATTTCTGTTTATAAATCCAGTTACAAAGTTTCCAAATGTTATCATTCCAAATGTTACCAAAAAACTTCACAGTGTGGCAGAAATTCATAAAAAGTAACTCAGAAACTCCCACAGCCCTAAAATGGTTTACATTTAAAACGAAAGAAGAATGTGGTACTTTGGCATCATAGTGGGCCCATTTTGCTGTTGAATTTCAGCTTCACTGAAAATGCGTTGGAACAGACATTTATGAGAGATGTCCTGAAACATGTCAGAAGTTCTTATTTGCAGTGTGAGCTAAGTATTTATTTACTCAGGCAGAGGCAAAACCACGTGCTTTGTTTGTGGAGAACAGATTGCTGTATTTAAAGTGGACATGGAACACCACATTTATTAAGGCTATTTTGCACCATAGAGCCCTACTGTCAAAAACTGTCATAGATATAACACTGTCTGCGCAGCTGGATTTAAGAAATAAGTGCTTAAGGTTAAAGTTTTCAAAACATGTTTAGTTGGTTGGTTGCAGTCAATAGACTTACTTTATTTATGTTAGCTAACTAATAATAGAACCAATAACTCGACGACCCTAAAACTAAGGATATACATTAAGGATATACTGTCCACTTTCACTCTCTGTCTTATTAGGAGGTTCTTCATTGTTTGGCTAGCTGCACTGAGACAGAAAAACCTAACTGTTAGCTGTAATGTTCGGGTTTGTAAAACACTTTATAACACAATGTCTTTTCAGCTACTCCAAGCTGCTCTGCTCTTTGCTTTTGCTCTGGCTCGAGCTCATTTCTAATCATCCACTCTCTCTGTCCCTCCTGAACTAGGGCTGGGTACCGTCACTGATTTCTACAACTGATTCAATTCTGATTCAAAAGATCCCTATTCAATTCAGTTTGATTCCATCTTGACTCAGGAAGTCAGAAATATTATAATTCTGATAATTTATATTGGATATGTACTGTCAAAAGAACCCTCTAAACCTTGTAAATTAAAAAAATTAATTCCAAATTATTTGACTATTTCTCTGCAATCACAAACTCAATGTAAACTATTTAGGTATAAAAAAATTGACACTTGTGAGACTTCATCAGATGTTTTTGTGTCATAAAATATGAAGGAATTTTTCCTGGCCTGGCTTTTTATAGCAGATCAAAAAACAGAAGAAAACCATGAATCAACATATGAACATTACCTGATGCTGAAGTGAAGTAAAGTTACAGAGGCTTTATTAGAGACACAGCCAAGTGCTTTGCAATTTGGTAAAAGTTTCAATGTCTCCAGTACTGAACAGCAGAAATAAGGATTTCTTGTTGGAGGTCATTTTTGAAAAAAAACCCCAAAAAACAAAACAGCGGCCGACAGCACTGAACACAACGGTAGACTGGTGCTTAGTAAGCGAGTGAATAATGCACAAAATAGACATTTTTAATGAGAAACTGGTCTTGAAGTACACTGAGAAGGAAGTGTGATTTTATCATGGTGGAAGCAAACAGCAAAAGTAAGAGCGAATTCAAGCATAGTTTTGATCTTCTTTAACCGCTGGTTGAGTGAATTTTGGTTGGAGAGTGACAAAACCTGCTGTTTCGGAACCTGTAAGATTTCAGTTTTCAGCACCCGACAGTATATACGTGCACACTACTGCTGTCTGGTCATCAGTGTTTGTCAAGTTACTTGAAAAAGTAATCAGTAATGATTACTTCCTGAAAAAAGTAATCCCATTATTTCACTGATTACTTATTTTCAAAAGTAGTTAGTTACTTAGTTAATTAGTAACTTTTTAAAACATGATTTATCCCCTAAATAGGTGATAAAGCAATAGATCTTTCAGCCCAATTCTACTTTTTCTGCATAATCCATCATATAAAATGTAATCAAATGTAACTTTATGCATCAAGCAAACATTAAATTATATGCAACATTGTCTGACTGGAAGAAATATGTTTAACATTTAAACCTATTTTCTACACATTCCAGCACATAAAATAAATTCGTTTTTTGTGTTTACACTCACTCTTTCAATAGATGCACGTAAAACACAGCAGAAAATAAATAAAATCAAAGACTCAGCGGTCCCGTTGCTCTACTTTCACCTGTATAGCAGGAGTGGGGCAGGTATGCTCTGGTGCAGGTGTGCCGCAGTGGTCAGTGGAAGGATACGGCAGTTTCTCTGTGAGTTTCCCATTACGTGGTAGCGTACTTGGTGCTTGCTCGGACGTTTAGGGTTTTTTTCACTGTAAAAACAAGTTTTCTTCCCACGCAGTGAACAGTGGACGCTGATGTTTTTGTCACTTTTCATGGAATCAAACTCAAAATAAGGTCAGTACTTCTACGCTTTAAACGCTGCACGCTCATACTCTCTCCCGCACTCGATATATGATCCATTGTTGATCTGCACACAGCTGTTGCCACGAATGTCGCACTCGCGTACGTCACTCGCAAAAAAATCACGGTTTTAGTAACGCAGCGTGCTTACGGGAAAGTAACAGTAATCTAATTACCTTTTTTGCAATAGTAATCCCTTACTTTACTCATTACTTGAAAAAAGTAATCGGAACGCGTTACTGCCCAACTCTGCTGGTCATGCTTTGTGTTTACATATTTTGGGCAATCAGTTTACCTGCTCTTTAATCGTTTGTTGTTTTAGCTGTTTGGCATTTGTCGAAATACTTTTATGAGCTTTAAGCTGAGATTCTGGTATTTATGACAAAATACATTTATATTTAAAATCAATTTCAAGAATTAGTGAATTGATATTGCATTATTCACATTCAAATTGATTTGAATCAGGAAATCCATTTTTTAAACCTATCCCTATCCTGGACCCAGAATGCTACTGAAATAGGGAAAGTCTTGATGGTCATGATGAACCCTAACCCTGTGGCCTCCACCCTCCCCTAAGCTCTGTCTCGGCTGCTTCATTCCTCCCTTATAGCTGAGCCACCAGCCACACCCCACTACAGAGACCTTTCCACATATAAGCATACATGATCAGAAGATGTTAGTTTTCTTTGAACCTCCCTTTATATTTGAATAAGCAATGATGAAACAGTTCTAAGTGATGAAGTCTAATAAATCCAGATATAGATCTTCTTTCAGTAACAATCACTGTCCACTATCCTTCGCATTTAAAGCTCAGACGTTGTCAAAAACACACTCAATTTCACCCACCATAAATGAAAAATCAAAAAAAAATGGTAGCTAAAGTTAAACGCTTTAAGATTTTGTCAAAACCTGCAGATTTTTGTGTTGTCCTCGGGTCAAAAATGACCCCAGGTGTAAGGCAAACAAGTGTATGGGAATCCCGAGGACATTACAAGGGTTAACTAGTGATAAAATATTGGCTAATTCATATTTTCATTGTCTAATTGTAACATCTACCCATACCTGTATGGGATTTTTGAGCCTGATGTTTATATAACTCTAAATATTTATATAATCAATAAATTATCAAAAACAGAAGAAGATTTTAAGACCGCTCCTTACTGAATATCTTTTGCACACACACACACACACACACACACACACACACACACACACACACACACACACACACACACGTACTGAATGTGTTCTGTGACCATGACAGATACACAACTTTCCTCTCTAAATATTCAAGGCTTGTGGTCCCTCTTGGTTAAAACACATTCAGACTGCTGTCATGCTGTTTGTATTGCTGTTTGTTGTCTTTGTAAAGATGAATAAAACTCATAAAGAGATCTTGGTTTGTGAAGTGCATTGAAGATGTCCACAACAAACTCTCAAGCACCTGTGTGGTGATACAGCTTGAGGGAAGATCAGTTTACTTCCACAACCATCTTCACTAACCAATCACTAAAACCACACACTTTTTTTTCTGGGGACATCAAGGCTTTTATGGCAATTGTTCTCATGCAGAAGGCTGATGGCCAAACTTTCTGCACCTTCCTGATAGAGACTCTTGTTCAGATTCAGTAGCACACTAGGCTTTTATACTCTCCTTTAGCAATCAAAGTGCGTTATACTGCATGTATCTATTTACACAAGAACTTTTTTCTACACTTAAGTGCTTTCCATCCAATATTCACGCTCCAGTAAAACATTGGGAATCAATGTGGGGTTAAGTATCTTGCCCAAGGATACTTTGGCATGCAGACTGGAACAACAAGGGATTGAATTACGAACCTTCTCAAGAGTTGATGACCTGCCACCTTGTTTTTACATGCTATGATTAGTGTATTATAGGTGGTTTTTAAGGGTACATCTATAGCCTTAACTTGAAGACTGACTATCTATCTATCTATCTATCCATCCATCCATCCATCCATCCATCCATCCATCCATCCATCCATCCATCTATCTATCTTCATAACTACACTGGAGAAAGGAAGAGTGTCAACGTGTTTCACTTCCTGCCTACCTGAATGCGGAACTGTGCATTCTATGTACAATGCATGAAGCTGAGTGGAGTAAGCATGTCAGTGGCAGCAGAATAAAGGCCGGAGCCTAAGATAAGAATGCCACATGTTCACACAGGCACCTCCCACAGTAGAACATTTAGGAAAGTTAAAGTCATAACATACATTCAAAGAACATGAGTGCTTAACTGAGTTAGCACTTTGCCACTAAAGAGGCACAAAGGGAAGCGCTGCTCACTGAAGTTTTCTCTCAGAGCCCTTTTTTTCCCCCTAACCCTATCAGTAACCCTATCAGTAACCCTATCAGTAAATGCATGTGAAAACAGTGAATCCAACCTCTGCTCATGGTTAAAGACACTTAGATCAACTATATTCATTGTTCTGATGCATGCAAAGAAAGAATGAAGTGAAATAAGTAAGTGTGAAAACAGCACAGTATTTGTTGCGTGTGGTTTTAAAGGCTAGCGTTTCTGTGGCTTTCAATTCGGCTGATAAACAGTGCTGTCACCA